GCGTGCGGTACGTCTGGCGCGGGCCAATGGAAGCGTACCTTAAATTTTGAATGTCATGACATTGCAGTATATTTGATGATGTCATGTTTTATTTATCAACCCTATCAGTATATCGTGTGGATACAATATAAATATTATTAATAGATTTTGGGCATCATATCTTCAAGGTCTGGGATACGGCAGGAAACATCTGCTTTTATTTGCGTTACTTATTTACATGTATTGATAATAATTTCCTGTCGAACAACTTATCTTAGTCTTTTACAAGTATACACGGTCTTAATATTTTTTTAACGGAGTCTCAACGGGTTACAAGACTTTTGGAAAAAAACTAATATTTTTTTAAATTCAGACTAACCAATATGAATGTATTGTGCTAGTAATTTTAATATGGTTAATAACAAAACATTCGAATACATAATATAGATAGAATTTAAGTAAATAGCTTTGAATTTTTCTTAAAGATCTTTAATTTTAGTCCCTCTCAAACGTTTTTTAGAATTAAGTGGGAATGCTAGCCAGTTTAGTTTCGGTCAGTACCGGTCAGATTTTTTTTGGTTATGTAAACATTTTAATTATCGAAACGCTGAGATCACCACTACTCCCATAAGTCCATTTAAGGTAAAATATATCAAAGCTAACGTTACGTGACCTTTTAAATTATTTTATTTTTAGGTTGGTGTCCAAATAAAGTTGATTTTTTTAATGTATTTATTATCCCATTTTTAAAGGCGTTACCGAAATTTAAAAAAAAAATTAAAATAAAACAAATTGCCAAAGCAAAATTGAATACATACTTTTATAAATTAAATAATTATAAAAATAGATACGTTATAATTTGAAATACAGAGTCTGTGAAATGCAAGTAAATAATCTAATAGAGATCCCTTTACTTTGCGAGCCGAGACTGGATGTGTAGACAGGGTGTAGAGCGCTCGAGCTTGACATCTGAACAAGTCGCCTTTCGCCCTTCGCCCTACTACCCCATTTGTTGGCCGCTGCGTTTTTTCTTATTTGCAAATTTTAACCAGCTGAATCAAGTATGCGTTACTAAGACCAACTTTAAATAATGTCAAATCAATTTTCAATCTCGAAACATATTTTCTTAACCTCGATTTATTTGATAATTTAGTTTTCTAGTTTTAATTTCACTATTGTAAAATCACTTTATCTGTACCTTACTGGCTTAGCTATAACAGTTCAATTTTCCTTTGTAATTTTCAATATAATAACAAACATTATGTTAGTAATTGAGAAGACAATTAGAAAGTTGGAGCGATAATTACAAGAGACAATAATGATGTAAAACCATCCTAAGAGATGGCGGGGTTACTTCTAACGCGGGGTCGCGGTTAAACCTTTTCAATAACTTTAGAATGTTCCCGTTCAAACATTAAAAGTAGTTGTAACCTAGACCTTAAACTAATTGCATTAAGAGATAAAATGTTTTATTAGAACATATTTAGTTAGACTCGACAAAGCCCAATAATATGATTTTGTTTAATATTTATACAACATTTAACGTAATGATTTGCAAAGTTATGTTATGTCTAAAATCAGATTTGTATTTTCTCGTGCACTTTATAATTTGTTTCACCAAGATTTATCTTCTTTTCAGAAAACAACTTTATTTTATATAACTAAATAAATTTTAAAATAAACTTAAGAAATGTAACATTTCTTTTAAAGAATTCATTTAAGACAGAATTTCTCGTCTAGTCCCAGTATCCTAGATTTTCCTTTTTATTCAACTGGCGAGTATTTTCAGTCTTATGTCTGTTACCAAACACAAACATTTAGTTTCGTTGCTTAAGTGTATTTGATATTTAATACTTTATTACGTAATATAAGCGGCTTTACTGGAGTAAAGCAATTTACAGTATCAATAGTTTTGTTTTGAGCTTAGAACGAAATTTATGTCAGCATGAGAAACATAGTATCCAACCAATAGACTAGATTCTAGATTACATCAGGTATCCCAGATTGAAATAGAGGCGCTTCTGAATTGTAGCTTGCAGATGTACCATCCGTATTCATACCGTGGGTCCTTTAATCCGGTCCTCTCTCATACGCAGAATTCTCATAGTACGTACTAGTCTTGTGTGTACATCTTTATCTGACGTTATGCTTGCGTTTTCATGTCCTTTTGGCTCTTAAACCACTGGATTTAGTGTTGAAACTTTTGTAAAGTTTTCTTCAGATGTCTTTTAATATTTAATTATAATTATAATTTTCCTTTTTAAGAAAGCTTGATATTGTGAGAGCGTCGGTGGCTCAGGTGTCAAGCACTTGACTTGCAATCTGCAGGTGGTGGGTTCGAATCCCGCTATGTACCGAAGTGTTTTTCGATTTCCGATTTACATATGTACATTTATCCGACGTTCATAAAGTGAAGGAAAACATCGTGATGCAACCTGCACATATCTGAGAAGAATTTCAAAGATATGTGTGAAGTCAACAAAATTGTGAAATGTTATTTTGATGTGATACATTTCTTTACTTTTCTTTTCATGGGTTTAGTTAGTCATTTAAATGTTTATCCTTTATGTTAATTTTATTTATAAATGTTATTGTATTAGTGTTGAAACGTTTATTTTGTTATTTAGGGAGCGGATGTATTTTAAATTCTCATTACAGTTTGAGATTTCGACATGGAGCAAACATCACGCGTCTCGCATGGTTATGGCATAAGCAACTTGGCAACACTGTTTTCTTAGCCTAAATGTTTCTGACAAGTATAATTATAAATATAAACGCTTTTGCACACTTTTGCATTATTCGTAAATGTTTTAATACTGTTTTGTAACTGATTTTAGTTGATATGTATACCATTTTGAAAAAAACATTAATATAAATCAAAATCCCTAAGCCCTCAGACCTAGGTCACTTAAATAAAGTGTAATTTGTTATTTTGTGTAATGACCGCGTAAAAGAATCGATAGATAGTTTTATTCCTTCAAAGGTAAAAGGTAAGGTAAAGAAGTATTTACTAATAAACCAGACTAACTTAAATAATGTACTCAGATGCAACGCACGAGAGTTCTAAATTCTTACTAGTTTTACGATTATTGTTACCGTCAAATTTGTTTGTAGGCTAACACTGCATTGAGTGGGTCAAACGTTTGTTTAGAGTAACTCAATATGTTTTGAATTGTATCATTTAAGACCCGACACTTTGAGCATAGCGATAAATATCTGTTTAGGACAGTTATTCACTCACGTCGTAAATGTATAAAAGTCGTAGTTTATCAATTTATTTAACAATCGGAGACAATCGTGTGTAAGGGCGATCGTTAACCTAAATGAATTGAATATTTACAGTACTGCTGAATATAAACATTTGTTTTTTACGAATTCATAATCTGTTAGGTTATTTTACACTAAATTATCGGGTATAAATCTTTGTTTTTTAAGAGTGGCAGCTCGAAGCAGGCAACATGCTCTTGGCAGTATTATTTATAATTATTTAAATTATTAGTGAATTTATCATCAACCCCTCTAGGGACTAGGGACGTGGTCGGCACACTATGTACTACTCTTCCATGCATCTCTACTTGACCGTTATATTTGAATTAACTTCCTTCTTCTTACGCATATCGTGTTCATCCATCCATTCATATTTTCTTTGGTTTTCCTCAACTTTTGCAGTCATCGATATTTAATCTTGATACTTTCTTATTTAAGTTATCAACCATTCGCATAACACAACGCCAACTTTTTGCTTAAAATCCAGTAAATATGGTAATAAAAAGCATTGTCAAGACACACATAATTTTTCATCATACATTTGGTAAATACGTATATGAAATGATGGTCTGTAAGTTTCAAATAAAGTATTTTTTCTTATAAATTTGAAATTAACGCTCGCCAACCCTTGGCATAGTTAACTTGCGCGGCGCGTTGTTCCCACCCGAGCGAGGATCATGTTGGACTATACGAAATTGCCGAGAAATCCTCCAAGCACTCTTCTCCCCACACTCTAATTGCCTCTTTGTCCAACGATTTATTTATGAATCGTGATCTCTTAGTCGTCGATGGACGTTATGTTCTATATACTTAAATTATATTCGTATGTTTCAACATTTTGTTTTTTTAATGGCGCCTTATCGTATTATATAAGCTTGTATAATACGATAAGGTGCTTATATTTAATTTCAACCCCAACGTCTGTCATCAAATCTTTCAAATTAAATTTGATCCACTTCCCAGTTACTGATTGAGATAAAATTTTGCATACAAGTGTAAATTTTGTGACCATACAATATTCTGATGATATGGTGCTGATCTGATGATGGAGCCGGAAGGTGGCTATAGGAACTTCGCAATGAAACGATACAACTACATAGATATTGAGTTAGTTTGAATCGTGTTGACGGATAGTTTGTCGTTTTTAAGATATTTAGTTAATATAATTAAGAAGAACATAATAAGAGCTTGTTTTTAAAAAGTTTTTATTTAAATTGCCAACAAATGAGTACTGTTCTTTTTGTGCTATACAAATAATTAAGTACCGAAATATAGGTTATTAGTCCTATCACAAGCAGTGTTTCAAAGGTTTCTGTATACTATAAAATAAAATAAAAGCTGAAAATTTGGAGTAAGAAGGCGAAGGGGCCGGCAAATCGGAATCGTTATTAAGGCGGGGCGGGACCTTAGCCGACCAATCCACAAACATTGATAAGTACCTATTCCTGAAGTCAGGCGAGCCAAATCTGCCGATGACCTTTATATGACATAGTACAATGTGCAAATACACTGCCATTTAACACAATCGAAAAAATCTTAATTAAACATTAAGATATAAGTTGTACACTCTGTTAATTGGATTGTGATCCAAAAAGTATAATACTTTCAAGTGAATATCCATAGACTAGTCATGAAACAATTTTTTTTAACGATTAATTCGCAGTGTGTGCGGATTTTGCCTCAAAATTTATAGATCTCTTGCAATCTTAGGTACTGAGTTGTAAATATTAATTTTCTATAAATTTTCTTTTCAGACTGCAATAGCAGGAGACATCTATTGGGAAGATGAAGATGATTCCTTAAACGAGTTCCTGGAGGTCAAGGAACCAGATTCTGGGCTCATCAGTCATCTGCGGCGGTTAAAGAGACAGTTGGTTTGTAAGTAATCTAACTTCTTGTCTTATTTAACACTAGCTATCGCCAGCGAATCTGTTCGCGTGGAATTGAAAAAAAACCTCAGAAATAGCTTATGTATTCTTCCAGCCTATGTTTTACATCTGTGCCAAATTCCATCAAGATCCGTGCAGCCGTTATAGAGACTTTCAAAAAAACATCTATCCATCTAACTTAAAAACTGCTGAACGATTGTGAATGAAACTTAGCTTAGATATACAACGAAATCTCAAATAAATATGTATGTATTATGATATTATAATATTTGAAAAGACAATTTCAACGTCCTTTGACAATAGTTTAACTATTACAATAAAAGTATTTAATGTTAATGATGTTTTCAATCTCTACATGCCATTATTTTAACTGTGAACTAACAAGAAACTGTTAAAATTTCCAGCAACACTCACAGACACAACTGAAGATCCAGTGGAGTACGAATCAGCTACGTCCGATGAAAACGGGTAAGTGGTCTATATTCTATTTTAGTTAGTTTACAAACTAACCTACAGACAAGCGTATAATTTAAGTAGAAATGATAAACGTGAAACTCTTCTGAAATTAACATCAAGTTATTAAGATCCGATTATTTTAAGAATCATACTCCTTAAAATCGAAGACAATAATAAAAAAAAACTATATTAAAATATACGAGAGTAATTGATGATATTCAAGTTATTAATTTTTTATAGGAATGACGTTGACGATGACGAAACTCCAATCGAAGGCTCGGGAACGTTGAGGAGAGATCCAGACAACAGGGAAAGTAAGTAATTTCAACTTTTTAAGATTTTGAGGCGAAAAGGAGTAAGGAGTGCAAAAACACTGCCTTGGCGGTATGAATATTGTCACGTACAAAGTTAGCGCCAACCTTCAAGATTGAAGAGGCACTAAAAGAAGAAAAAGAAGGTTGTCGGCTATTAGTTATTTGTATTGTTTATAACAACCATACATTGCAAATGATTAATCGCAAAGTAAAATTGAGGACAATGCAGCAATCAAAATTTCCTATACCTTAAAATGTAAATATATACCTATAATAATATATTACCTATATGATTAATTTTCAGAGACACTACGTGTTACTTTCGTGGTGATGGAGCCCTTCCAGAACGAATACTCCGATAGAGACTCTGAGCAGTTCCAGAATATCTCAATAGGACTCGCGGACGCAGTCAACAACCTATTCGATACAGTTCCCGGAACTCAAAGAGCCAGTCTCGTTAGGATACAGTGAGTATTATTCTTCTACATATGTATAGTCTGTATCGTAAATAATATTAACTACAGTAAAGATTGAGAAATGTATGTGTGGATGCTATGAAAACACTTAATTTTTTTTATGATTTCTTGACTACACAATTTTGAAGATTTCTAATTAATATGAAATAGTAAATTTACTGAAGTGCTACTAAATATATTTTTTTGTTGAATTTTAATTGTCACTTCTTACTTTACTTCATTCTTCTATTATGATATTTCAGGTCGAGGTTATCGGACGAGTTCTCGTGCAAAGTAACCATGGACATCATAACATCTGGCTTCGATGACACCAAGGAGTTGGCGAGGATCCTTCAAGATCACATCAGACAAAGAAGACAACTCGGTATCTTCACAGTAGACGAAAACGAATTTTTATCAACAGATATAGTTGACCCAGGTTTGTGTGATTGAGTTGAATTTAGCTTTCAGATACGTTACGATAATTTTATCGTTTTATTTGTAATTACGGTGAAGAAAAACATCGTGATGCAACCTGCACATATCTGAGAAGAAATTCAAAGATATGAGTGAAGTCAACCCGCACTTGGCCAGCGTGGTTGACTATGGCCTAATCACCCTTAACTTAGGATAGGTTCCGAACCCATCGGTGGAGACGTATAGTGATGACTGATGATGATGATGATTTGTAATTTTTGTTGTTGTGAGAAATCATAAACAACTTAATATTGAAGAAAACAAGTATGGGTTGTTGTTACCGATACCGATTTATTGTGTGCATTTTATAGTTTAAAAATAACATGTAAAAGGCACTTATAAACGCTTTTGTAAAACTATGACACCCTAAAGATACAATTTTTTTTGATAGATTGTAGAACAACATAGAAATGCTTTCCTAGCCGTATTACTTATTTGTTAGTGTACTTCATCATCACCTATGACTTTATTTTTAATAGTTATTCACTATCTCATCCTATCTTCATTACTCTAGGGTCTTTTTCACTTTAATTTAGCTAAATCTCGGGAATTATTTGCAATTTTAGCAATGTGTCCCAAGTGTCGACGTTCTTGAGCTAGATAGTATGAAGACTTGATGTATTAATTGTAAGCAGTTAGTTGTCCCAAATTCAATACAAACATTGTATTACGTAGGTACCACTAATCTGGAGTGTGCCGCTGACGAGGTTAAGTGTGATGATAATCATTGTATTGCTGGCTGGGCTTGGTGTAACGGTTCCCCGGACTGTCCCGACGGCAGTGACGAAGTGTCGTGCCCAGATCAAGGTTTCTTTTTAATTTTTTTATGACTTTTTAATTTTTAAACATTTGAAAGATGTTTTTTTTATTTTTACTTTTTAAGTTTAAAAATTAAGTCATTTTTATATTTATTTTCATTAACGTTTACTAGACTCTGAAGGCGAAGACCAGATTAATGAAGTCGATCAACAGACTTCGACGCCGAAATCAGATAATGGTGATTCAATATATATTTCCTTTATTTTTGTAAATTGATTTTTTTTAATTAATTTTTCAAAATTTCTTTTTTTTTCTTTTTTTTGTTTGTTTAGATGACCTTGATACGTTTAGCGTAGCTCCGAATGAAGATAACGAATTAATACCTGAGACGACTACACCTCGCACAGAACGTAAATATATTTTGTTCTATTTCTTTTTCTTTTTTCACCTCTATTTAATATAGGAATCAGTATTGCAACGGAACAAAGACGAAAAATAAATTAGCATAACGAGTGCTCGTAGATTTTTATTTCGTATATTTTATTTTTTCATCATTTAGGCGGGGATGGCGATGAGGGTGACGATATCACCTCAAGTGACACAGAAAATGAAGTTATACCAGAAACAACTACAGCCCAAATTGATTGTAAATATTTTTTTTTTGTTTTTTTTTGTATCCTGCTACATGGGTCATACCTTCATGGTATTCATTCTTCCATCCTTCCTCTATTTCATTTCTACTTTACTTGGAGAATCGAAATATTTACTCTATTCTGATTCTGTGTTCTTCAAAAATCGTTACTCATTTGATCAAAATTCGGTCCTTAGCAATACTTTGCTTAAAGTCAATTGTTATTAGCCGATTTTCTTATTGCTTTTCGGCATTCCTGATTATTTTGTTTTACCTAACTTCAATAAGAAATAAGCATTGATTTTTTTTTTATATAAAAAACTTATGTATTTTACAATTAATATCTTAAAGTAGCTGTCGCCTCCGTGCGCGCGGAACTAATAAAACTGAACATAGTCTGGAAGAACACATAGGGCGTTCTTCCAGATTTATGCAGCAGTAATGGAGATACCCACAAACAAACATCCATCCAACGTAAGATAAGTAATATATGGCGTGTTTATGTCTGAAATATTTACGGGTTTGTTGGAATACACTGCCCTATTAATGTTGTTTAACCATAATTTATGCTGTATCTGTCATACCTACATTCGTCATACCTAAATATAAGAATACTAAGGAAGACCACTTAGCAGTTCTGAGCGCCTAAGTAATTCTGAATGCTTCAAACTGTTGGAAGTAATTTTATATACACTCATATTAAGTTTAATAATTGTTAATTTTCTATTATCCGGTTCCTGAGGCGCCGGCCTGGTCATTCATAACTTGTACTTCCCTACTTTGGACACCAGTCCCCTTCTCATCTAGAAAACATTTCATTTTTTTTTAATTTTTAAATTTCTGATCGATCATCTATTATAAGATAGTTAATTATTATTAAATAAAATTCATGATGTTCACATCAAAAAGGCTTCGCTGTGGTTTCGGTTCGTTTTCGCTTTGGTATACTAAGCTTTAATCAATCGTTGATATCTCTCGTTTCCTCTAATTCATAAGGTGGTGGGTTCAGCTTTCATTGTTAATTCCTTCCATTTCTCTGTACTCAAAACATTTTAAGCAATTGTTGAGATATTTTTTATTTGGTTCCATAAAGCATGCACACTATAAAGGACTATAAAATTTTATGCAAAATAAATTTTTCATAAACGTGACTTTATTACGAACTTCTACAGTACCAGTTATCTTGGATTTCTGAGATCAAAATCTCCGTTTAAGACATATTGTTATCTCTTTTTTGTCAAAGATAATAACTGTGATGACGATATGTTTTATACAGAGATGTTGGTGTCAGAAACCCACGGTCTTTAATTTAGAAGGCAGTGGTTAATATCATATTGATAGCTAATCGCTAGGATATAGGCGCTACGTTAAAAAGTATATATGAAAAACTTGTGTTTTTTGTACAGCATGTGCTGCGTACGAGTTTAGATGCGACAACACACGGTGCGTCCACCGGAGACGGCAATGCGATCGTCAACAGGACTGCGATGACGGCTCCGACGAAGCTGACTGCCCACCAGGTAAGTCAAAGCTATTATTCAGGTACCGAACTGTACCGACCTGAGTTGTCCGCACTACATGGTGCGGAAAATCTAGTCAGGTAAATTGTTTTAAGACAAGAAAGGAAGGAAGACATGAAGCTAAAGTACGTGACTGAACCCACAAGGTTTGCATCAAATGTCTTGATGTCATTCGATTAGTATTTTAATTATTAATAGGTTTATAGACTAAGTCATTATAAGTCCAATTCATGTTATATTCGCGGCCATGCTGGTTGTTGACCAACACTTTTTTAAACCATGATCACACATAAGTTTTGAGATGTTTCTTTTATGTTAAATCTTCTGTAAAAGGATAAATTTGTTTTGCTCAATTCTAAATTTACAGAAACAATTACCATGTTTAGGATGTCTAAACGGACGATTAGACATTGAGTGGCGTATTTAACACGGCATTTCCTTCTATTGTAAGTAGATGATTGTTCTCCTGGTAATTTGATAGCATTAAATCACTTGCAATTAATACAATTTCGAATTTAGAATCAGTTTGAACATATAGATATAAAATGAACACGTTAAGAAACTTATACATATGAACATTGTACATCGAAAATGTATGAAATACACTTTTAAAAAGAGTTGTACGTTTTTGTAAATAGACATTAGATGCTTGAATAAATTTTAAGGTCGTGTATTGCAGCTAATTGGCTTTGAGTCAAGTAAGCGTTGTGTACAAAGTAATCAAATGGTCCGTCCATTGCGAGTTCTCTAAGGAGCAGTAGAGCCATTAATTTTAGCGTTGAGTGGACACTGATCGGCTTTAGATTCGAGAAATGGGAAGTTAAACGGCAATCATAGCCTGACTACGGTATCCATACCGATTATTTAGTTTTAGACATTATTAGTTAGAATCATTTAGAGTAAATAGCTCGCTATCGATACCAAGTCAAGTCTTCGATTAGTGAGGGGATATGATGAACGTTGTCATTTAATTTTGCGTTGCGACGATACACCGTTACAGTGTCGGATTTTCTTCCTAACATTATAATAGTAATAATATTTCAATCAGTAGACAATTTTTTTACCTTAATAGAATTGGAACAGGAAGTTTATGTAACTTAAAAAAAGTAGGGATAAGAGGTTGTCGATGTTGATAACGATTCGATTTAACTATTATTTAATTTTACCTTCGGAATAAGTTACACAATTTTTAATTTAAAAACCATAACACAACCATATCGGTGATATTGTATAGACAGAGATAAAACATCCAATTCTACATAAATTTTGTAAATACTATTACATCTTTAATGTTCAAGATTATGTCGATTCTTTTGACAATTTACTTTACTTAGTAGTTACATTAGCTATGCCATTTGCCTGTATTGCATTCACTGTTTGGAATGTCGAGTAGTTCTGTAGCAATCCGAAATTCAAGTACCTATTATGCCAATTATAAACTCAAACCAATCAATTAATTCAAACTGCTCGCCCACGTAACATCCTTGTTACTAGCTAAGCGTATTGCCCGGCTACAATGGTCCTCAGCGATATGGTTAATGCTATAACTTTCATAATTAGGTTATTAAAAACATAAAGAATTTAACAAATATCTATAGATGATGGTATAAGCTGTCTTAGATAAGATTTTTTTTTATATCATAAGGTGGCAAACGAGCGAGCGACCACATGAATTCGCTGAAATAGCGAAGTGACCGTTGCCCATAGACATACGCAATTGTATATGTGTTGCCTATCTTTAATCGACGGAGCAGAGGATGCACAGAAAGAAAACATTTCCATGCATCCTCTCATCCGGAAAGTCCACTTCCACTTTCCATCCTTATAAGAAAAAGTGTAGGAAGGGAAAGAGGACTAAATTGGGCCTCCGGGACGCACACTCATCAGACGAAACGCGGAATTGCTTCCACTTCACGCCTGTCTTCTGTGTGGTCGTGGTATTTCACCGGGCGAGCCGGGACAATAAAATAAATTATAATTATATTGTAAATTTTTATTTATAAAGATCGGAATATTGGTTATATAACTTGTTAACAGAGGCCCAGGCGAATACTTATGGTTATAAATGAAACGTTATCTTGACAGAGCCCGTTTCAATTTGAAGATCATTCGTTAAAGCCATTAAAGCATTAATGGTTTTCGCAGTAACTGCTTTATTATGATGACTTTTGCCTGTTTCAATTAGTTCATCGCTTACATAGTTCATTTGTTGCCTGCCATATCAAAATAAAGATTTATTGCAATGTCGAGCACTCATATAACTTTAAATATGACTTTATTTGATGATCAAATTGAATAGAGGTCTTATTCATTTATGGTTCTTTTTATTACCACATAATGTTGGGTAAATGTTTTATTTTTTTATCAATAGATGGTGTTGTACAAATTTTATTGCGTACAAAATAACAGACTTGAACATAGAAGTTTATATTGCATGAATATAGTTAAACTGTGCAAGCGTAGTATGGAATTTGATTTAAGATCAGTGTTTAAATTGGCGCGCATTAGGCTCCGCGTTTAAAATTGGCGGTCGCAGCTCGTGAGTCAAATATCAGCGCGCGCATTTTGTTCTACCAATCAGAGGATGCGACACAACATGACTCTATAGCTTCTTTCCAATCAGAAGCTGTGACGTCACACATTGCTCTTCTTTTAAACATTTTCATTTAGATGGCACTGCTAGTCTATTTTAAATCGCAATGCAATATTAAGTTCTTTAACCGATTTCTTTCGAGTTAAACATTAAGTTTGTTAATTTGCTTATATCAACTTTAAACTTTTAAAAATTTATGGTTTTATATATTTCATTCGTTTCGTATATTCGATTCAAAGATAATGTGTAGATTAGTCATAGCGTTCTTCGAATTGTTACATTAAAGCGATGTAGTGATTATCTCGAAGGACCTTGTAGTACTTTATTCGAGTGGACAAACAATTCCAAGGCTTGCTGATGAAAATATTTAGACGACCAGTTGTTCATTATTATTGTAAAGAGTGCTCTTTAAAATTTTATTGAAAAGATGAAGCAGACTAAACTAAAAAATTGACTCTCTGAGTACATAAAAATTTAAGAAATATATGTTTTAAAAAGCATCCTACCAATACCTATCCATAATAAAAAATAAAAAACATTATAGTCGTGGACACTATAAAAATAAAAAAAAAATTACTGTAGTGTCGGAACGGTTTTAAAGCTGAGATTTTTGCAGTCCAAAAAATAGCACTAAATAAATAATATCCTTATTCTTTGTTTCATAGAAGAGACAGTTCGAATTACTCCTATAGTGTATTCGACACCGGCGGCTTTTGACTTTTTATAAATCCGACCAAAACGATGTATGTTTCTTACGTATTTGGAATAGCAAGAAAAATAAAAAAAAGGTCAAAGCGAACTAGCTAAAATTTCTATTTCAATCTTTATAATGTAATATAAAATACCGAAAAAATAATTATTGAGGTAGTTTTGACACGTAAAATAGCGTACGTGGACTAGACATTTATTTAAAATAAATCAATCTACTTTGATACTGACTGTATCTGTATGTGACGTGATATTCTTGAAATTAAATTCATAATATGAAATATTTTTTTAAACTGACATATTCAATTATATTTGATTTTTTGGAATTGCTTTTTTGCTCATATCACAACTATGTTATCACACACGTCCAATACTGTTTCGATAAACTCTTTGGTTCCTATTGTAGTATAAAATAAGAATTCATCGGACGTCTTCTATTGTGATAGAATCTAACATAAAATTCCAATAACTATTGATATATTAGCCTGACACTAGCAAGGCTTGAACTCGATTCAATTTGCACACTTCTCTGAATGCCATTCTGTTAAAGAAATATGTATGTTATGTTTTCCGCAACACGTACGATATGTTTCATATTAACTTCTGGTTTCACACGGCGAAGCAGTACAACAGTACTGCTATAGTTTTAATGCAGAGATAGAACTGTTTTGATAAGTTCAAAAATATCAGTATTGACTCATTATGAGTAACCAATATTAATGCATATTTTTCACTCAGCTTATTTAGTCTATTTTTGGAATAAATCAATGAAAATAAAACTTTAAATGTGTGTTAATAATTTAGTTTAATTTCGATACGATAAAAACATAACTTTTTCCCCGTCAACAATATCGTATTGAATTTCGTCATGACTTTACTTGATTGAGAGAAAACAATCAGTAAATTTAATATATTCGTCAGTACATCAAACATCGGAGTATCAGTTGAATATAAATATGTTTTGTCCACACACGACATATAAGGTATTAAATGCACATATTTTTATCAATTAATGACATGTAACCCATCAGTCATATGCGTTTAAATTCCCTTCCGTGTAATAATTAGTCATTTAAAGTCATGGTATAAACTAATCACGTTTTATAAAGTTTACCTTATAAAGTAGTTCGACTAACTACGTCATCAAAGTCTAGAGGCATTTTTTTGCAAGAGAGAGAAGGAACAAACATTCCTTTTTCAAATTCATTTATTAGAAAATCAGCAATTATATTCTATTATTCGATTTTTGAAAAAATATTGTACCTTCTTGTTACTGCTTCGTTCAACTTTAACCCAATTATTTGATAAATGTGGGTAATTTTATCGAAACTTGGAAACTTTTCATAACAAATTAGATTACTTTAGAACTCAAATAGTTTGTGACATTCCATGAAGCAGTTCCCATCGACTTAGTAAGACATTTTTTATGTGTTCTTTTTGTAAATTATAAACGTTCACGCAAATCAGAGCTCTAGGCTCTGTCTACTCACGACAAAATACATGTAGATTGTCGTCGTTGCGGCCATTTCAGAGAGTAAGGAGTCTTGATGGGACAAACGCGAGATAATTTTTTCTTCTCACTAATTTTCTTTCAATTTTACTTCGCATGCTCTTAAGTATTATTTCAAGGTGTAATAAAATAATTCAAGTCAAAATTTATACTAGGGGTCTTTAGTGAAAAATGACCATGGATTTTAAG